TACTCGGGAGGCTGAGGCAAGAGAATTGCTTAAGCCTAGGAGTTGGAGGTTGCTGTGAGCTGTGACACCATGGCAGTCTACCCAAGGGCAATAAAGTCAGACTATCTCTTAAAAAAAATAACTGGATGTTGTGGCAGACCCTTGTAGTCCCAGCTACTTGGGAAGCTGAGGCAAGAAAATTGCTTAAGCCAACCTGGCTGCCACCCTTTAATGCAGTTCCTGTGGGTCACAACTCACAGGTTGAGAACTGCTGGCTTAAGCCCAATAGTTTGAGGTTGTTGTGAGCTGTGATGTCACAGCACTCTACCGAGGGCAACATAATGACACTCTCTGAAAAATAAATAATAAAAAGATGAAATCCAGATTTTTTGGCATCCCTACAATGTTACAAACTGATCCCTTCTTGTTCTTTATGTAAGAGAGATTGATTACATTCCAAAAGATTTTTCAAGCCCAGAACCCACAGTACTTTATATGCTTCCTAAATGCTTTACATTTGTCAAGCTAGCAATTATTTTCTCCACAGTTGTCTGTGCCCTGTTTGAGCCTTGTGGGCCACACTGGGCATGATGGAGACAACCATGGTAAGAGTGTCATCCAGGGGTTCACAAGACTTTTCTCCCAGTGGGTTTATTCCATTTTTGTTTACCCACATGTCCCTGCCATTCAAGCTGTTAAGATTTCTTTGGGGAGTGATGTGAGGTATCTTGCTCCTTCCCTTAATCTGTGATTACAGGAGGAAGATTGATCCTTAATGGAACCCTATACTATTAGTTTCTTATTGGATGTCATCTAATTTTTTTTAAGGTTTACCTTATTACACTTCTTTGGATATTCATTCCTATACTAAGCATACTTTACAGCTATTTCTTAAATTACCTATTCGGTACCAAATATTTTGTCATTTGTATGTTGGCTAAATTAAAGGTATTGAGTTAGCTAGATGCCAAGATCAGAATATGGAAGATAGTGAAATGTAATGGGGCAGTTAGAAATATAGAATTTTTTTTTTTTTTTTTTTTTTTGGAGACAGTCTCACTATGTTGCCCTGGGTAGAGTACTGTGGCATCACAGCTCACAGCAACCTCAAACTGTTGGGCTTAAGTGATCCATGTGGGCCTTGTCACATACCAGCTTATAACCTTGAACAACTAAGGCTAAGACTTCTTACCAGTAAAATGAGTTGATATGGCATGAGGATTAAGTGAGCTAATTAGCGAAGTCCACAAGTATAGATCTAGACTAGTATAGATCTAGACACAGCTATTACTTGTGCCCCTCCCTCATTTTCATTCTACTTTTGCCCAGAATGACAACATTAGTGAAGTTGTAGTGCACACTTGTGTCAAAGGAAGTACCTAGTAGAAAACCCAAGCCTTACTAGGATCCACATCAGACCCGCTGCTATCATAACTGTATTTTTTCCTAACTGTGAGTTTTTTCCTTTTGCAGCCACAGGTGGAATTAAGAAATCTGGCAAAAAGTAAGCTGTTCCTTGTGCCTGAGATGATGATGATTGATTCCTATATAAACATCTGTATTCCCTGTCATAACATCTTTTGCCACCTATAGCTAAAATGAAGTGTTGTCTTAGAACCTATTGTACATTTAAGAATAAACTTTTGTAAAAAAAAGAAAAAAAAAGTCACACAGTTGCTTGTCTCTTTAGCTATTTTTACTTAGCCTTTCCTACCTTAGCTGTGAATTAAAGTAAAACCATCCTCAGACTCCTGCTGGAGTCTGTTCTTTGATCTTGTTTTTACTCTAAATTCTGTATCACCTGGAATTAACTCCTTTGCAAGGCTGTCAATCTTGTATAAGTGTATAACCAGAAGAATACCTTCTGTACATGAGGTTAGTGGAAGAACTTGCACTTTGGGAAGAAAACCCACCTTCCTCTAGTTATGACATGTTTTGATGGAATTATTTATCTGTTCGTGTAAAGCAGTGGTTCTCAACCTTAGTGCCGCAATGTATCTTCATTGTTACAAAGGGGTCGAGACCCACAGGTTGAGAACCACTGATGTAAGGGGTCTGCTGTGTGCAGATACTAGGGCATGTACCAGCAGACAGCTGTTGTCAAGGAACTTTATTGTGGTGGGTAAGCAGGATAAATAATATGCATTATGAAAAGAAAAAGAGAAGGAGAAAGGTTCCTGAAAGTTGCTTTTTTTTATTATTGTTGAGGATTCATCAAAGGTACAAAAAAACAGGTTACATTGATTGCATTTGTTAGGTAAAGTCCCTCTTACAATTGTGTCTTGCCCCCAAAAGGTGTGTCACACACCATGACCACCCACCACCACCACCCCCGCTCTCCCCTTCCCCCAACGAAAGTATTATTTTGCTTTTCTTTTTCTTTTTTTTTTTGAGATATTCTCTGTCACCCTAGGTAAAGTGCCATGGCATCATAATAGCTCACACCTCTTGGTTGGGCTCAAGTGATCCTCTTGCCTCAGCTTCTCAAGTAGCTGGGACTACAGGCCTGGGCCATTACACGCAACCAGTTTTTCCTTTTTTTGGTAGAAACAAGGCCTCACTCTTACTCAGGCTGTTCTCCAATTCCTAAGCCCCAGTGATCCACGGACCTCAGCCTCCCAGAGTGCTAGGATTACAGGCATGAGCCACCTAGCCCTGCCCTAAAAGTCTCTTAAGAGCCAGGCTTCCCTGGCTCGTGCCATTAATCCTAGCACTCTGAGAGGCTAAGGCAGGAGGATCACCTGAGCAAGAACAAGACCTTGTCTCTACTAAAGATAAAATTAGTCAGCATTGTGGCAGGTTCCTGTAGTCCCAGCTCCTTTGGAGGCTGAGGCAGAAGGATCGCTTGAGCCCAAGAGATGGAGGTTGCTGTGAGCTATGACACCAGGTCACTTTACCCAGGGGCAAAAGCTTCAGACTATCAAAAAATAAAATACCCCGGGTGGCACCATATACCAGAGGTGGTGGGCTCAAACCCAATCCCAGCCAAAAAATAACTGCAAAAAATAAAAATCCTTATTAAAAAAAAGAAAAGGTTTTAGTAGATTGAAACCTGTTTTAGGACTAGATGATGGACTAACAAAAAACAGCCTGTGCCTGCTTTGTTCCTCTCCAGAAAGTTGCATAGCCAGCAGCACCTTCTTTGGGCTTTAGGCATTCCCTATGGGGCTTTGCCAGCTGGCATCCATCTCTGTTCTGCTAAAAGAACCCTTCTGAGCACCAGTGAACACACTGCTCCTGAGGACAAGTCACTCCTCTTTTACTTGGAGGAACCTAATCTCTCCCGATAAATGAACAATCCTGTCTCTTTCCAGGACCAGTGACCACAACAGCAATTAAGCATTCAACATTTGAGCAGTTATCAGGAAACCTATCGGTTGCTTAAAAAATTACCCACTTAGGCGGGTGCAGTGGTTTACGCCTGTAATCCTGGCACTCTAGGAGCCCAAGGTGGATGGATCACTTGAGCTCAGGAGTTCAAGACCAGCAAGAGTGAGATCCAGTCTCTACTAAATATGGTAAAATTAGCTGGGCATCGTGGTGGACACCTGTAGTCCCAGCTACTTGGGAGGCTGAGGCAAGAGGATCACCTGAGCCCAGGAGTTTGAGGTTGCTGT